TATGCAAATTCCCGCAAGCAATTACTTTCAATCAATTGAAATTTTCTCGAGTATTCTAAACATTCATCCAATCGAATATGCAAATGGTACACCGTTCGGCTCGAGCAAAACATTACTACGGTTCGCGGAGGAAGGCTTGGTCAATCGTTTTGGTGTCCCTTTGTTAAATACTATCATTCTTTTGAGGAGTGGGATCTGTGTTATTTGGGCTCATTATAGACTTTTGAGGAATAAGAGTTGTTCTACTAGTTTAGCTTTGACTTGTGCGCGAAACCAAGTGGTGTACCAGTATCATTGATATTACCGAGTCTGAGTCGGACTATGATTTGGCTTGTATATAATCATCAGTTTATTTTAGCGCAATCGAATATGTTAGAAGATTTACCTAAACCTGACCACTGAAACAAACCCAAATGATGATTTTATTAGTCAGTCAATTAACATGGTCATCGACATCACGTTGATGCGTGATCATGTGTTTGCTTGGAGATGGACTCTTCATATGGACCATTTTTTCGGAGGAATTCTTGTGAAATTGTTTTGACACGTTTCTCTCACATTTGTGATTCAGGATTCTGTGAATTCCGTCTTTTAGGTTTGCAATAGAATCTTCTTTTCCTTCAAGATTCTTATAAACTCATTCTATCAGTGTCCTCGGAGAATTCTTCTGTTAGAATGCTCTTCAAATCGTTCGTTCTTAACAGTTTTCTTTAGGATTTGGATAAAGTCTTTCATCCACAATCGATACGAACTCATAAAGCTACGTTTCGTGTGAATTGTTCTTTCCTCCTTCCAGGATTCTTATAAATCTAACAAACTTTTTCCGGCTTTTCTTGTCCTAATTGATAGGAATCTTTTCCTGGCAAATGTTCTACGTTTACATGACTCTCAGCATCATTTATTCAGCTGAATTGTTGAATCCTAATAAATTTTTTCCTTAACATCTGCAGATTAAACTTACCGCCAGTATATTGATAGACTCGACCTTTTGCCAATTGTTTTGGAACGTGAAATAATTTGGCACTTTCTCCATCGACCATTTTGCAAAATAATCATCATTTCGGTCGACAGTATGCGATTTCCGTGTTTTGGTGGCCAAACCCGCGTTCGTGGAATAAAAGTATATGCACCAAATGACTTGGATCGTGATTTTCATCGTCAGTACCCTATATATTTAAAGCAAAATGAAGGGGAAAAATCACGAGAATCCATTTATTCATTTACTTTCGCATTTGAATGCGTGTCATTCTAATTGTCCGTCGTTCGTAATGTAATTGAA